ACATTAAGCCCCAGAAACTAATTATAATCAAATTTTCCATTCTGGAGTGAAATTGCCTGATTACTTCCAAAATAACAATAAAAGTTTACAGAAGAAAATTGTTTAGGTGTTATTGACAATATAATTTCAGCCTTATTTGTGTCTACCCAGCCACCATTACTCATGTTGTTTACATCCATTTGCCTCGAGTCATAATGCGTCGAAGCTTACTTAGTTAACAGCCTTTTTACTGATCTTCTTATCTTCTTACTCGTCTTCATTACTGCACAATTCACAAAATTTAATTTAAAGTTTGTGCATTGTGCAGTAATCAAGACAAATAAAGCATCCTCACATTACAACTCAAGGCAAATGTATGTAAACAAAGCCAGTAATGGTGGCCAGGCTGCCACTGCAATGCGAATGAGGTCAAATTTACATTGTCGATAATTCCTAAACAGCTTTCTTCCACAAACGTTTATTGTTATTTTCAAAATAAGCATGCAAATTTACACCAGAATGGAAATTTTCATTACAATTGATTTCCAGAGTTTAATCTGCAAATTTATAAAAACATTTGTATGATCGCAAGAAAAATTAAATAATAACTGCAGTACTTTGTCAGCTATCTTTAATAAAACATGTATAAAAGAGGGATTGCTGTCCAAATACACAAAATATATATATATATATATATATATTGTACTATATTGTATTATATTGTACAATAATAGATTTGTTGGTATATAATCCAGGTGGATCCTAGTAATATCAAATATTAAAACTGATCCACAGAGAGCTAAATGTATTTATTATAACAGAGCATTTTTGGATTTTTGGATTTTTTAGTGTAAAATATATATATATATATATATATATATATATATATATATATATATATATTAATAAACAATAAAATTCAAAATCACCTCATATAAGGAATAGCCTATTTCAGCCGACAAAGATATCAGTGTCCACACCGGGGTTAATAAGACCAACGACTAATATCTTCATCTTCCGAAATTGACTATTCCCCATATGAGATGATTTTGTATTTTATTGTATATTAATTATATTGCTCTGTAATAATAAATACATTGAGCTCTTCTTGTAGATCAGTTTTAATATTTTATATTACTAGGATACACTTGGATTATATACCAATGGATTTGTTACCTTTATGATATATATATGAATATGTGAAGGGTGAATATACCTGCTTATTTTCAACATTTATAATTTTTCTTGAAAAGAATTTCAGGAATGATGGAATATATATCAGTCAGAATTATGTAAGTTTAAAAAGAACCCAAAATAAAAAAAGTGATGGTTAACGTAAATATATGAATTAATAATCTACCCAGAGACAAAAGGAAAATATAATTATGAAATGTTTTGAAAATTAATTTCATAATAGTAAAATAGCTTCTTCTTTTTTTTTTTGTTATTGTTGTTTTTGTGTCCCCAATAATTTATCTCAATCCACAGCTGACATCAAAATGGAACCAAATTCTTATCTTTTTTTCACTGCAAGAAAAATTGTATAAACTTTGGAATTCTGAGTCACAATCACTCTAAACACTGCGGTTGTGTTGTTCATTCTTTTTTTCTTTGCTTCACTTTGCACTTTTTTCTTTTCACTCTTCTATGACTTCCTTAATATGACTTTTCAACACGTCCTCTACATTCAACCAACCACAACTACTCCCCATTCATGCTTATCTTCATCCTCTTTCAAACGCTGTACAATTCTTTTTCTTTCTTTTTTTTCTCTTTTTTTTTTAGTTTTTATTTCTCATCTCTCTTCACTTTCATTTTAACTCCTCCTTTTCTTCTTCTTCTTCTTCACCATTATCGTCCTTGCACTGTGTTGATCACTGTTTATTGTCACTTTATTTCTGACATGAGCGCTAGAAATCAGATACACTGGATATGATTCACCACAGTTTCATTTACTGAATCAAGAATAATACGTTGCCACGGCAACAACAGTTGCTTCCAAAGCACCAACTGATCTGTGCAGTTAAAGTGCATCAACTGCTTTGTGAAATATGAAAACAGAGAGAGATAAGAATCAATTGAGAGAGAAATAGATATGAACAGACTTGCCTAGATAGATAGATAGATAGATAGATAGATATGCATACACTTGGCTACATAGATAGATATGAATACACTTGGCTAGATAGATAGATATGAATAAACTTGGCTAGATAGATAGATATGAATACACTTGGCTACATAGATAGATATGAATACACTTGGCTACATAGATAGATATGAATAAACTTGGCTAGATAGATAGATATGAATACACTTGGCTACATAGATAGATATGAATACACTTGGCTACATAGATAGATATGAATAAACTTGGCTACATAGATAGATATGAATACACTTGGCTAGATAGATAGATATGAATAAACTTGGCTAGATAGATAGATATGAATACACTTGGCTACATAGATAGATATGAATAAACTTGGCTAGATAGATAGATATGAATACACTTGGCTACATAGATAGATATGAATAAACTTGGCTAGATAGATAGATATGAATACACTTGGCTACATAGATAGATATGAATAAACTTGGCTAGATAGATAGATATGAATACACTTGGCTACATAGATAGATATGAATAAACTTGGCTAGATAGATAGATATGAATACACTTGGCTACATAGATAGATATGAATACACTTGGCTAGATAGATAGATATGAATACACTTGGCTACATAGATAGATATGAATAAACTTGGCTACATAGATAAATATGAATAAACTTGGCTACATAGATAGATATGAATAAACTTGGTTAGATAGATAGATATGAATAAACTTGGCTACATAGATAGATATGAATAAACTTGGTTAGATAGATAGATATGAATAAACTTGGTTAGATAGATAGATATGAATACACTTGGCTAGATAGATAGATATGAATACACTTGGCTACATAGATAGATATGAATAGACTTAGATAGATAGATATGAATACACAGACTGAGATAGATAGATATAAACAGACTGGGCTAGATAGATAGATAGATATAAACAGACTGAGATAGATAGATATAAACAGACTGGGCTAGATAGATAGATAGATATAAACAGACTGAGATAGATATAAACAGACTGGGCTAGATAGATAGATAGATAGATATAAACAGACTGAGATAGATAGATATAAACAGACTGGGCTAGATAGATAGATAGATATAAACAGACTGAGATAGATAGATATAAACAGACTGGGCTAGATAGATAGATAGATAGATATAAACAGACTGAGATAGATAGATATAAACAGACTGGGCTAGATAGATAGATAGATAGATATAAACAGACTGAGATAGATAGATATAAACAGACTGGGCAAGATAGATAGATAGATAGATAGATAGATAGATATGAACAGACTTGTCTAGATAGATAGATAGATAAGTATGAACAGACTTGGCTATATAGGTATATAGGTAGATAAATATGAACTGACCTGCCTAGATAGATATGAACAGACTTGGCTATATATATAGATAGATAGATAGATCTGAATTTACCTGATAGATTGATAGATATGAACTGACTTGCCTAGATACATAGATCGATAAGTAGATAAATAGATATGAACAGACTTGCCTAGATAGATTGATACATAGATAGGTATGAACAGACAGGGAGAGAGAGACAGACAATGAGAGATTTCACAAAATCTCTACTTTTCATTTTGTCTTCAAAACAAGTTGTGTTCATCAGTATAGCTGCATCTTCTATATTTTCTAAAGTACTCATCACAAATACTAAATCACAATTATTTAATAAAACTAACTCTCATCTATTTCTAATACACTTACGTTACCATAATATAGTTTACACTTCAAATGACGTTTACTAAAACCCTGCTCAAACTATGGATCATTGGATGCATTTAGTTCCATGGATTCTTCGATGTGTTCCTTGTCTGGTTTTGGTACAGTGATCCTGCCCTTTCTCTGTTTTCTCTGCCATGAAGCAGCCAAATTAATTGTCTCTATGTATTTCAAGTCAATATTTTCCAACATAGCTTCTTGCCTAAGCAAGACAGATTCACAAAAGGAATATTTCTATCACATTTTTAATATAAGTGACTCTTGGGTTTAACAAAATATCATAGGAAGAATTACAACATAAATAAATAGGCTTATAAATTTCATGGCTCAATTCATGATAGTGATATCTGTTCAGTATAAGCATTATTTTTTGTTGATGACAAATATTGCAAAATGTTTCTTTGCATCCCATATGTCTATCGATCCTCACATGAGGATTAACAAAATCATGTCTATGATATTAACAACATTTGGTTTTTGATAAAGAGAATCCCAGTTATGAGTTCTTCATCTTTCTTCATAATTAACTTGTGTTCTCCCAATTCACAGTTAAATATCAGTCTTCTGCCATAGCTAATTTTTACAAGAATCTCCCTGTAAATAAATTTGTTTATTTGTGTATGTGTCTGCTCCTTCACTCTCCACTAAATGTGCCACTGAGTAAAAATATTTTCTGTTCAATGTGCATGTGTTTTGAAAACAGTGTCATTGTTTTGTGCCATGATTTCAGTAAATTATTGCAGAGATAACATTTTTTTTAATAAGAGATTTACCAAATTAAAGTTGTTTTACAAGTAAAACATTTTTTATCACTTCAAATGATATTTTCAGCAATGCCCTTTAGAAATTGTTGTTTCCAGAAGGGAGAAACTAAACAAAAGAGATGAGCTTAAAAGGCAATATAGAACCTTGCTTAATTGCAACACTCTTCGTAGCCGAGTTGGTTAAAGCATGACAGTTGTTCCTACAAAGGGGAACAGAAGTTTGAATTCTGCCAGAGGGTGTACATTTTTTTTTTCTTTTTAATAAGATTTCTTTAATATTTAGGCCATTAGACGAAATAAAATATTGTTTATAATAAATGCTCAGTCGACTCGAATATGGTTATCCACTGAAAATAACATTTAAAGTGATAAAAATATGTCGGATTAATAAATAAAAACCCATTATTTCTTCAGAAGGTGACCCATTGACCTGAACTGGGTTAATGTTGGTCCAAAATCATGCCTTGACTGTGGAAAATACATGTACAAAAACAGTAAAACATGAAATTTGGTCAGTTTTTCCACTATTTTGATTTAGATATAAAATATCTTATTGGAAATTGGAAAACTACATCAAAAATAAAACAAACAGAACCTCACTCAGTAAAGCTCTACATTGACTAGCTCTTGGGCCTTGTGAACATTTATCAAAAGAAAATTAGTTTAAGATTTTGAAATTTAAAACATTCCATACAATATGTTTACTTCTGCACAGATTTTTATCACTTTAAATGTTATTTTTAATGGATACTCATATTTGAGTAGATGTTCCGTTTATATATTAAACAATATATTTATTTATTTTCCTGAATGTTTAAGAACAGAGGGTGCATATAATAAGATTCCTTGAATATTCAGGTCAGTAGATGAAAATAAACAAACATACTGTTTAATATATAAATGAAGCATCTACTCAAATATGATATCTACTAATAACATTTAAGTAAAATATATATATATATATATATATATATATATTCAAACCTATTCATCTAATCTATATATATACACACACACACACAAAATAATATATATATATATATATATATATATATATATATATATACATACTGATATAATATACACACACACAGAAATTATATATACACACACACACAGAAATTATATATATATATATATATATATATATATATATATATATATATATATACACACACACACACACACACACACACACACAAATAATATATATATATATATATATATATATATATATATATATATATATATATATATATAATAATTTTAAAAACTAGGAAACCATTGATTTTAATATTAAAAAGTCTCTAGAGCCCTTTCAGCCAACATCTCATCAGGAGACATGTCTCCTGATGAGATGTTAACTGAAAAATTAAAAATCAATGGTTTCTAATTTTTAAAACTATTTATAAATTTTTGTACCTCAAACATTTGTTTATATATATATATATATATATATAACACACACACACACACACACACACAAAATAATATATATATATATATATATATATATATATATATATAATACACACACACACACACACACACTGAAATAATATATATATATATATATATATATACACACACACACACACACACACACTGAAATAATATATATATATATATATATATATATATATATACACACACACACACACACTGAAATAATATATATATATATATAAAAGAAATATGTTGTAGTGGTTCCAACGAGAGAAAAGTATGTATATTAAAAAGAAGGGGGTGCATAAACGTTTTTGGTTGTAATGTGGATTTATTGAGAAAAATATTATACTTTGTTTTACATAATTTCACGACGCGTGTTTCTGGTCTGGTCTACTTAACCGTCTTCAGGTGAAAGTGGAGATTTTACATATTATTAAAAATAATTAATTTTCTTCATGTTCAATGTGGAATATTCTCGATATGAGACATTCTGTTTGTGTGTTGGCAATCCGAATTTTCTTTCTAGAATTGTCAATGAAAAGTTCTGCGTGAAGGTCATAAAACAATTAAGGTTTGTCCAGCGAGTAGTTATCGGCATTTAATCTTTTAAAGTATAATATTTTTTCTCAATAAATCCACATTACAACCAAAAACGTTTGCGGCACCCCTCTTCTTTTTAATATATATATATATATATATATAATACACACACACACACACACTGAAATGATATATATCTTAACTTGCCCTACATTTTTGCTTGATGAAAATTGTTTTGAGCACTCTTAATTTAACCATTCTTTTGGCAGATATCACTTTTTGCCAAAGATTGAATATATATATATATATATATAGGGGATGGATGTTTTTATTTATTAATCAGACAGATTTAGATTAGTTATTTTTAATAGATACTCATATTTGAGTAGCTGCTCCATTTATTTGTTAAACAATATTTATTTATTTTCATCTACTGGGCTGAATGTTTGAGACATCTTATTAAAGAAAAATATGCCCTCTCCAGCAGGATTCAAACATGTGTTCCCCTGGGCAAAGGATATTATTGTTAGATCTGACGTGCCTTAACTGACTCAGCCATAAAGCTTTGCTGATCAAGCAAGGTCTGAATGGTGCCTTTAAGTAAAATCCTTCCCGTCATAGAGTATCCATTAAAAATTACATTTAAATTGATAAAAATCTATTGAATTAATAAATAAATAATCCATTAGTTCTTTAGAAAATCTGTGCAGAGCAAAAAGCGACTCTCATCGCAAATGCACAGATAGGCATTACTAGCTTTCAACTAATAATCCTTTCGATTGTAATAAGTATTTAGTAATTATTTTATATATCAGTAAAACATGAATTGACTCAGTGTGGATTCTGTTTGCCAAAGTGAATGTGAAAAGGGAGCAGTATGTTATCAACACACGACTGTGTTGTCCCCAGCATAACGACAGCTTATAGGTGTCGTATGTAAATCCCAACTCATGAGAGAGTGTAGGAGCTGACAGGGAGTGCTTCCCACCACCCCCATGCTCACTACCTAAGGTACACTCTGGCAGTTGTAAACACCTGAGATACTTCAGCTTTTGTTGACATCTGATTCTATGTCCTTATCTGGAAATGTGTTTTTTACTCAAGAAATCAAAGAGGGGCTTATGGCAGGGGACAGGAGAGAAGGAGGCTGGGGTTAGGGTTAGGGCTGGTCTTCTTTTTATGTGTGGAAATAAAGGCCCGACAATAAGTTTTTAAAATTCTTCAATTCTGTTCACACTTGTGATGATGTCCTGTTGAGAGTTGCTGTACATTTGGATAATTCCTTGTTTTCGCATATTCTTTCTGCTTTACAGACCTCATTCATATATTCTTAAATTATTAATTAAGGAGAAATATTCTTTACTTCTTTGGAGAATTTTGGAGATTTTGCTAATACACAAATGTAGTGACTACTGATAGATAGATAGATAGATAGTGAGAGAGAGAGATATAAGCAGAATGAGATAGATAGATAGATAGATAGATAGATAGTGAGAGAGAGAGATATAAGCTGAATGAGATAGATAGATAGATAGTGAGAGAGAGATATAAGCAGAATGAGATAGATAGATAGATAGTGAGAGAGGGGTATAAGCAGAATGAGATAGATAGATAGTGAGAGAGAGATATAAGCAGAATGAGATAGATAGATAGATAGTGAGAGAGAGAGATATAAGCAGAATGAGATAGATAGATAGATAGATAGATAGATAGAAATATAATGAGAGAGAGATAGGCAGAATGAGATAGATAGATAGATAGATAGAAACATAGTGAGAAGGAGAGATATAAGCAGAATGTGATAGATAGTGAAAGAGATAGATAGATAGTGAGAGAGATAGATATAAGCAGAATGAGATAGATGGAAACATAGTGAGAGAGAGAGATATAAGCAGAATAAGATAGATAGATAGATAGATAGATAGAAACCTAGTGAGAGAGATAGATATAAGCAGAATGAGATAGATAGATAGATAGATAGTGAGAGAGAGAGAGATATAAGCAGAATGAGATAGATAGTGAGAGAGATAGATAGATAGATAGAAATATAGTGAGAGAGATAGGCAGAATGCGATAGATAGATAGAAATATAGTGAGAGAGATAGGCAGAATGCGATAGATAGATAGATAGAAATATAGTGAGAGGGATAGGCAGAATGCGATAGATAGATAGAAATATAGTGAGAGAGATAGGCAGAATGCGATAGATAGATAGATAGAAATATAGTGAGAGGGATAGGCAGAATGCGATAGATAGATAGATAGATAGAAATATAGTGAGAGGGATAGGCAGAATGCGATAGATAGATAGAAATATAGTGAGAGAGAAAGGCAGAATGCGATAGATAGATAGATAGAAATATAGTGAGAGAGAGATAGAGAATCATGAATAGATAGATAGATAGATAGAAATATAGTGAGAGAGAAAGGCAGAATGCGATAGATAGATAGATAGAAATATAGTGAGAGAGAAAGGCAGAATGCGATAGATAGATAGATAGAAATATAGTGAGAGAGAAAGGCAGAATGCGATAGATAGATAGATAGAAATATAGTGAGAGAGAAAGGCAGAATGCGATAGATAGATAGATAGAAATATAGTGAGAAAGATAGGCAGAATGAGATAGATAGATAGATAGATAGATAGAAATATAGTGAGAGAGAGATATATAAGCAGAATGAGATAGACAGATAGTGAGAGAGAGAGAGATAAGCAGAATGAGATAGATAGATAGATATATAGTGAGAGAGATAGATATAAGCAGAATGAGATAGATAGATTGTGAGAGAGAGATATAGGCAGAATCAGATAGATAGATAGATAGTCAGAGAGAGAGATAAGCAGAATGAGATAGATAAACACAGATAAACAAAGTTAGATATAAACAAAATGAAATAGATAGGCAGTGAACAGAGTATGATAGATAGATAGCAACATAGTGAGAGAGAGAGATATATAAGCACAATGAGATAGATAGATAGTGAAAGAGGGAGATATAGGCAGAATGAGATAGATAGATAGATAGAAACACAGATAAACAAAGTTAGATAGATAGGCAGTGAACAGAATATGATAGATAGATAGATAGATAGATAGATAGATAGACAGACTTTATGAACAAATTGAGATAGATATTTGCAGAATTAGATAATATGCAAAAGCTTCCAATAGTTTTATTACAAAAAAAGGTTTTCTACAGTTATTCAGTCAAAACTTTAAAAAACATAAGGGTGCTGAAAACTTTTGCACACACTTAGAAAGTTAGATATCAACAGACTTAAATAAAAAAATAAAAAAACTGAAGTGAAAAGAAAAAGAGGCAAACGAGAGAGAAAGAGCTTGCCTTTGTCTTTTATTTAATTCTTCCCTTTTTTTTCATTTCCCATCCAATCAATTTTAATTTCCTGATATTTGGCAATAATATCTTTAAAATCCTGAACAAAAATAAGATTCTAAAAACAGAAATGGGGTGATATTTTTTTTTAATTTCATCTTTATTTTTATTTTATGCTAGCTTTACCTAGACTGACAGCCAGACAAACTGGCATATGGCACTAACAGATTTCTTTCTGTCTGTCTTTTCTTTCTTTCCTGTAGGGAAATAGTTGCAGCAATTTATACTACTTCCACAAATAGTAAAGAAAATGAAAAAAATTCAGTTATGATATCCTGTGTTCTAAAGCTAGATAAATTATCAGAAACTGGGATGAGATAGATAGATAGATAGATAGATAGATAGATAGATAGATAGATAGATAGATATAAACAAGATAGATAGATAGATAGATAGATAGATATAAACAAGATAGATAGATAGATAGATAGATATAAACAAGATAGATAGATAGATAGATAGATATAAACAAGATAGATAGATAGATAGATAGATATAAACAAGATAGATAGATAGATATAAACAAGATAGATAGATAGATATAAACAAGATAGATAGATAGATAGATATAAACAAGATAGATAGATAGAAACAAGATAGATAGATAGATATAAACAGAATGGATAGATAGATATAAACAAGATAGATAGATAGATTTAAACAGGATAGATAGATAGATAGATAGAAACAGATAAATAGCAAATAGAGACAAAGAGAGAGGAAGATATTGTAACAGAGACAAAGACAGAAGGAAAGAAAGAAAAAGGAGTGTTTATAGTTAAAGAGAGACATATATAAAGACATCAATTGATAGATAAAAAAGAAAGACAGACTGAAACAGAAATAGACAGACAAGAGCCGACAGAGATAATGACAGACAGAGCCAGACACAAACAATGCACAAAAAAATGACTGGAGACAGACTGGTAAAAAGATGGACATATAAACAGTTCTTGAGAAGAAGTTATCCAGGTGGAATTTACTCCTTACTGAAGAAATACGAAGGGAATGAGGAAGGGCCAGCTTTTGGAGGGTTAGAGTTGGGCAAACTAAAGAATATAGCTCATCTGAACATTTCCCAGTAGCCAGAGTCTGGCAATATTTCATCTGTAGGAAAAGTGGCCGTTAGATCGAAAACAATTCATCATCCACAAAGAGTTTTTGAATGCAATCAAAGGTGAAAACTAGGAAGCTCCATCCCAGAATATGACTCAAGATTGGGTAACAGATATTGTTACAGGTGAGTCAGGGCAGTGAAGCAGTCACACCCCCAGGTAGGGCATGCATCAATGACCTGGATTGAATTATCCAGAAGTACAGCCATAACTGTACCCATGGCATCAAGAGGCTCCCTGGGGATTACTCCATGGTCTAGAATCAATTCACAAAATGACAGTACAATAACCATGATATTTTTTTTTTAAAGTGTTTCAGGGGAGGGAGACAGCAATAGTGATGGAGAGTGTCAGAGACAAAGACAGAGAGAGATCGACAAAGGGAAAGAATGACAGAGGGGAAATAGACGTTAACAGAGAATGACAGACAAAAAATGGAGTATTGCTGCCATATCTGAGCAGGAGTTGCCCAAACCACATGTTCCAGCATTGACAGTGTTCATTTACGCAGCCATGTAGGTGATGAATTATTTTCCACCCCAAAACTTCTTTCCCACAAGTAAAACATTACTTACCCGTATTTCTATTTTCATGGCAGATATTCATATGCGCTATATTCCTTACTTCCACCAGTCCGTACCTTTACAATTAAAATCCACCATGCCACATACACAGGGTCGAATAATCTTCATTCTCTTTGTATTCTACTGGCAAATAGAAAGTTCTGTTGCATTGGGAATTAGACTCCCAAGAATGTGCTTTCTATGATCTCAACATGATCAAGTCTAGGATCAACCATTATCTATTCTATATATTCTCATTATATGCTCCTCTTTTGCACACCCTTTCAACAACCTCATTTAGTAACCCTCTACTTAAGTGGCTCTTGGGCCTTGTATCTGATGCACAATAGAATAAAAAGATAACATATAGAAAGAAGTGGACAGATAGCAAATAGAGACAAAGAGAAAGGAAGGCGGGAAGCCACTAGCACGCAAGGGGTTACAGAGCGCTGAAGTGAGAGAAAAGAGGAGTGATAGAGGAAAGGATGAAGAGAAGGATAAGGGTTAGATCAAGGCATCTGGAGACGTCGATTGACATTACATTTGAATAGTTGGAGATTATAGCTATCAGGGAAACAGGAAAAGGGGAGGGAGTTCCACAGGCGAGAGGTGCGAGACATGAAGCTATTGGAGTAGAAGAGATGGCTACATTTAACAGTTTCGACAGTGAAAGGGTGTGAGCGAGATGTCAGCCTAGGAGAATGCTTAAATTCATGAAGTCTGGGAACCAGCGAAAGTTATGTCTTCTAATAGGATAACCTCCTCAGAAGTTACTCTAAAATTCAGATCCCTGATTATAAAATGTTAACAGCAACCCAGAAAACATTAACTACATCACCCTTAATGAATGAATAAATAGTCCTGGAAAGAAGATGCAGTTGTGATAAGGTTCAGTTTTAGAACAGAATGGCCAGACTACCTACACATTTGATTTTATTGTAGTGATGACGTAGAAGTTTGGTTTGGTTTGTTTTACCGCATATCAACCTCAATGGATTATTTAATGCTGACAAAATTTTTATTGCTGGTAATATTTTGTTTTGTCAAAAATCTATTTCTGGTAATATTTTTTCTTCAAAAATGTACTGCTGGTAATAATTTTTTTCAAAAAAATATTGCTGGTAATATTTTTTTCAAAAATGTATTGTTAGTAATAATTATTTTTTAAAAACATTGTTGGTAATATTTTTTTCAAAAATGTATTGTTAGTAATAATTATTTTTTAAAAACATTGTTGGTAATATTTTTTTCAAAAATATATTGCTAGTAATAGTTTTTTTTCTTCAAAAATTTATTGCTGGTAATAATTTTTTTTTTACAAAGTATTTCTGTTATTAGAAGCTATTTTTAGACTTTCATAGTGTTTTTACCCCAGTTTAGGGGTTTAACTATTTGCCCATAGCTGGGACCCTAACAGGTGCTACCACCCCGGGTCAGGGTGGACCTGGGAACACCAGAAATTAAGAGGTGGTTTCACACTCCTTAAAACCTCCTGATCAGAGGCTTTGCTGTTGGACGTAGTTTATCGTCTTACCCAGGACGCTGATGTAGAAGTAGCCACATTTTTTAAAAGACATAACAAAGAAATGGCAAATGGTGGGCCACAAAATCTCCAAACAGTCCTTCCCAGGTTTGAATTCAGTGTTATCTTTCTCCTAGGCTGGTTACCAACCAAGGTGAGGGAGCCTAGACTGCTCTTCCATTTAACCCATATCTATTGGAGAGAAGATATGGATCCACACCTTTCCCAAAGATATTTGTGTGAAAGTGAACACAACAAGGTCAGCTGGAATTTGAACTCAGCTCTTCAATTTCACTTTCCAAGGTACTAACCATTACCCCACCCATACAAATATAGGTGCATACGCACAAAGATATATACACAAACACATACATGCAAACATATACGCACAAGCACATATATGCAAATATATACACACAAGCATATACACATTAACATATACACAAACATATACACCTAAACACATACACCTAAACACATACACACAAACATATACACCTAAACACATACATGAAAACATATACACGTAAGTTCATAAACGCAAACATATACACATAAGCTCATACATGCAAACATATACATATAAACTCATACACACAAATGTATACATGTAAGCTCATACAAACAAACACATGCACACAAGCACATACATGTAAACATATGCACACAAGCACATACACACAAACATATACACACTGGCACATATATGCAAATATATACACATAGGCACATACATGCAAACATATGCACATACACACAAACACATACACTGAATAAGACATATTTACACTCACTTCCTAATTGCTATTTTTTTTAATACCTAAAAATGTGTCTGGCACAAAATTTCAATCCAATTTTCAACTTAGCAACAATTTAAAAAAAAAAGGTTATTTTTCAAATCAAACACGTCAGTATTTCTAATGAAAAAGTCAGAACAACTTTAAAATTTTTTTTTAGCATTTTACTCTGAGTGGAGGAAATTATTTTTAAATTTCCATAACGGTTTTATTAATACCAAATTTAAAAGTAACAATGCCAGAGAAAAAAAATTGTTGGGATAATTTTGTTGAATGGCCTCGAAATAAAATGCATTTTTGTTGTCAAGGATTGTCAGCAAATTATGATTTCATTTTTTTCTGCTTTAAGACGTTTTTTTGGAGGAGGGTGCCTATTTTTAAAACTTTTTTTTATCAATTTCCTGCTGCTATAAAATCTAATAATCTCAATTTAATTTCCCTTTTTTTCTTTCTTCATATTACTTCCCCTCTTTCTCTCTTTTCTTCCTTTCATTTTTACCTCTTTCTCTCTTTTCCTTTCATTTTTACCTCTTTCTCTATTTTCTTCCTTTCATTTTTACCTCTTTCTCTCTTTTCCTTTCATTTTTACCTCTTTCTCTATTTTCTTCCTTTTATTTTTACCTCTTTCTCTCTTTTCTTCCTTTTATTTTTCCCTCTTTCTCTCTTTTCTTCCTTTTATTTTTCCCTCTTTCTCTCTTTTCTTCCTTTCATTTTTACCTCTTTCTCTCTTTTCTTTCTTTTATTTTTCCCTCTTTCTCTATTTTCTTCCTTTTATTTTTCCCTCTTTCTCTATTTTCTTTCTTTTATTTTTCCCTCTTTCTCTCTTTTCTTTCTTTTATTTTTCCCTCTTTCTCTCTATTCTTCTTTTCAGTTATATTTTCATTTTTTTTCTTTTCTTCCATTTCCCACTTTTCCCTGTTTCACTTCTTCCTTTTCTCCCTCATTCATTAAACATAACAAAGTACATCAGAGAAACCAAATCAGAGAGAAATAGGAATAAGATTGTATTTAATATATTTAAATTAAATATATTTAAATTTAATAAAATATATAATTGTAAATTAATCAGAAATGGGGAAAAGCTTGCCTGCTTTGAAAATCAACATTCAAAATCGTCATTTTCACTTGGACATAAACTTCTCAACTAATTTTCTGTAATATAGTGATAGGTATGCCTGCCTGCTATGCAAGAGACTGGGGTTCAATTCCCCACCAATTCCCCACCATCATTATCAGTCCCATGACAGGGTGTGGTCATAGGCTGACTGTGCCGCTAAGTTCCCTCCACATATCTGGTTTGAAAGCCAGAAAGGTATTTATTGAACAAATAAACCTGGCGGAGACCATCCCTCTCTAGGTCAAACTACAGCTAAAATACTCCAACTTGAAGGCTCACCTTGGTCACAGACACATGGCCTTTGATTTCATCAGGGGAATCTTCTGCCCAGGCTGTTGGCTTCAATCTAGGAAGCCCTCTACCTGGCAATGCCATGTTATCACTACACTGACTGCATACATATTTATGAACCTCAATCTACCCTTGTGATATATGACTATTCAACCTACAAAATGGATCATCTACCCTTTTTCAAGTATTGTTTTTTAATCCTGCTGTGTGCCTAGCCCTTCACCTCACCAGGAAAGACTGGTGAGGGAACTAGTTTAGTTACCAATGACCCAACTATGTAGCAACAGGTATTGTATCACATGGAATCAATAGCACTCCAAGAGTGACTTAAAAAATTAATGCAAAAAATCAATTACATAACAAAAAATGTTTTTAAAACATAACAAAAAAATCTGTTGAAATTTTTGATACAAAGTGTTATATATAAGAATATCAATTGTCCAAATCATGTAACAGCAAAATTGTCCATTTGTTAGATTAAGCTTTGAACCATTGTATCTTTGAAATGATTAAAGATATCTTACTGGAATTCTCCGAGGTTTTATAACATTATTGAACTCTACTTTGAGCAATAAGAATGTATAATTACTCTCCAAAATTAATAGAAGAATTGTGATGAAATTGATCATAAACAAAAATGACAGGTTCATCATTAATTAATCATAGCTAAGAGTCATGAAGGAATGAAATAAAGTTCAAATAGATAAATATAAATATATATATATATATATATATATATATATATTTTATTATTTATTTATTGTATTTCATCTATTCTAACAGGAGTGTTTGTTAATTTGTTTATAAATTGTTTAGGTTAATTTATTTTATTTGTTTTTTATATTATTTTGTTTATTTGTATTTATTCATTTCAGTTTTCAATTTTTAAGTAATGTAGTAAAAATTTGTTTTCATGTCTGCATTTTGAGATGAGCTCAGATCTTTTATTTAGTAATTTATTTTGGTCTGGGAACCAGATTTATATATATATATATATATATATATATATATATATATATGTATGTATATATATATTTTTTCCGGATCATTTTCCAATTCATTCAAGATGATCTTTGCCATTTCTAAATTTTTATCCTTCTATCTTGGAGTAGCAAGATGTCTCAGATGTTTCATGTATGATTTCATTTTCAAGTCTTTTTCACTGCTCTTTGGATTGTCATAGCTGAAACTCCTCACTCATGAGCCAAACATCTTATGGATTGAATTGGATCTTTTTTAATTGATCTTTTTAGCTCTAAGTTGAAATGATAACCACATTTCCTGTTGTGACCTTCTGATCCAGTTTTCTCTCTACTTTTAAACTTATTCACCATTCTATTGATTGTTCTTGAATGGACTTTGAAGATGGAAGCCACAGTATAAATGTTGATACCATTATTGAAGGCCTGAATGATCTTTTTCCTCTCACCATTGCTCATTTGGGAAGACAGTGGGCCTGACACAAAATGATTTTAACCTGTTCTCTTTCTAACTGAATAACTCAGTGATTCTTATGACAAATAGTGCCAAGATGGCTAAACATCTTATCTGAAAATCTGGATAAAAGAAACTCAATACGTTTAATGATTTTTAGATATTAAACATTTTGTAGGATGGATAATTATGCTGTTACACTATTTGTATAATTTTGCTGTTATACTCAGTTATATATATATATATATATATATATATATATATATATATATATATATATATATAAACAAATATATATACATAAGCATATATTATGAAATTGACAAAGTCAGACAATTATTTTCTGTTTATACATTATTTTTATAGATACAAATATTTAAGTAAATGCTCTGTTTATAATAAACAGTATTAACAGCATTTGCCAGCCAGAAAATTTGTGTCCTCCAAAAGGAATCGAACCTGTATCCTACACAAAACTGTCATATAGCCTGGCATGCTATAACATTTAGCCACAGAGGAAGAGTCTGGTTAGCAAGCAAAAAGCAGTAATTCAACCTTGCTAACCAGATGCTTCATCTGTAGCTAAATGCTATAATGTAACTCGCAACAGGGATTGAACCTGCACTAAAAATAATAATTAATGAAAATTTACATTAGATTTTTACACACAAACGCACATAATCAGTAAACATTCAGATCTAAATAAAATATTTTTTGTATAGACAATATGAATAAAAGACAAAGGAAAATCTTTTTTTACCAGCACATTTTATCCACGGAGGATTTTGATGAAGGTTAATGTAGAGATTTTATTTTGTAACTTGTTTTATACAGAGAATTAATATGCAGGAAAAGCATCATTGAGTTTTTAAATTTAAAATTTAAGGAAACTCTAAAACATCCTTAAAGCTTGCTGTGTAAGGAAAGGTAAACTATAGAGGACTCTAAATGATGTAATTTATTGCCTAATAAATGAGAGTAAATGGCAGTGTTGATTTTTTATTTATTCATACATATAGTCATATTTCTGATTACTATATATATATATATATATATATATATATATATATATATATATATAAGCAAGTGTAAATGGATATAAATCCGACAGAATGAAAGAAATTTTGAAAAAACAAACAAAAATCCTTAAATGTAGTTAAAATGAAAGAAATGTAAATGACTGACGTTTCGGTTTAATAAACCTTTTTAAAGACAATATTCATCAAAATACAATTCAGTTCAATATGACCGAATCGATGGACATAAAAACACAAGTCTTATTCAGAACAGATAACTTTAAAATTTTTTAAAATGATCAGCCTTCCGAATAACATGGTGTTTTATGTCCATCGTCGTCACATTGAACTGAATTGTATTTTTGATGAATATTGTCTTTTAAAGATTTATTAAACCAAACGTGAGACGTCGAAAAATTTCAACACATTTTAACTCATTTAAGGATTTTGTTTGTTTTTTCAAAATTTCTTCATATATATATATATATATATATAAAAATATATATATATATAAAATGTGTGTATATATATATATATATATATATATATATTCAACTATTTGAAAGATCACAAATAGCATGAAACCCAGGGTCACAAACTCACATCAATCCAGCCATGTATATATATATATATATATATATATATATATATATATATATATATATACACACACACACACACAGATAAATAGATATATGTGTGTGATGGGTCCTACCTATAACTACAGAATTAACTCTTCCTAACACTATGTATACTACGCCTCTCAAGAGAGAGGGACGAATCCAAGCCAATAGTAGTTCACTCCAAACCAGACTGACAGTCATACTAACACCTACCACATCTTGTATTATTATTTCGTGTAATATACCTTCGTTATTTCTACTCTTGTGTTCGTGTTGTTCTTCCTTGTTTCTAACCTGGACCATAACAATGTGGCAGTCTGTAACTGTATACACACACATACACAGATAAATATGGATACTTACTATTTTTTTATACATTTTTCCACAAAAAGGGTCTATAAATATATATATATATATAATACAAATCAACAATTTCCTATCAGGATAGGTGAAATTACTAGAATTTAACATATTTCAAGCCAAGCAGAGTTTTTGTCAAGAAAGTACTCAGTAGATTACTAGAGTTATAGTAGTCAATAAATTATTATGGTTCAATTATCTTAGCTTTTCTATGGCTTTGCATACAAAACACTTATCAAGGTCAGATAAATCCATTGATATTACTGACAATATATAAAAATATACGTGTGTGTATATGTGTGTTGCCTTTCTCAAATCCTTCGCTGACCAGCATGCCATCTCATTTCCCCTTTGTCTGTCCCTTTCCTGCTATATTTGTTATCCAGAAGACACCATAATATATATATTTTATTTATTTATTTATGTATATTTTTCTTTAATAAGATTTCTCACATATTCAGGCTGGTAGATGTAAATAAATAAATCTACTGTTTAATAAATAAAAACAAAGGATCTACTCAGATATGAGTATCCCCTTCAAAAATAACATTTAAACATATAATTTTAAAATAACATATATATATATATGTATAGATAGATAGATAGATAGATAGATAATACTAGTGGTCAATATATATATATATATATATATATATATATAAATTCCTAAGAGGATAGAATCCAGGTAGAACTCAATGTCCAGGACAGAGTAAGAATATAATATAAAAGGCTCAAACACTAATATTCCATGGTTATAATTTATTACATTGGAATCGTAATCATGATCAATTCATCAGACCTACAAATTCAAAAAGAAATCGGAAAAAAAATTTTTCTTTTTGAATTTGTTCCAATGTAATAAATTATAACCATGGAATATTAGTGTTTGAGCCTTTTATATTATATATATATATATATATATATATATGTAATATGTGGTTCTGTGAGGTGTGTGACCAAACCCTGCTGTCAAAGGCAGACCAGTTTAATTGCTTGAAAGCAATCCAATTACACTTGTCCCTTCCATGCCACATATTGAGTCCCAGGATGGAAACTTTTCATGCTCTCACTGCTCCAGAGTTTGCTGATCAGCTGATGGTCTCAAGCATTATATGAAAATTCACAGTGAAGCCAACACCGTGTCTGTATCTAT